TAATACCATTTTAAATTTCTCGATGACTAAGATACAAATAATTACTTATTAAATTAATCTTCCATATAATATTAATATATTATAAAAATTATTAACATCTTTAATATATAAATCCCGAATAATTATCCAAGAAACCTTTTAAAAAATCCCTACACTTTCAAATAAATACCAAATAAATCTTTTTTTAAGGAAAATTCATTAAAGAAGTTAAAGGCTCATTAAATTAAATTAATATCCTTTTAAATTTTTTGGTGAACACAACAAATATAATATTTATTAAATTAATTTTTCATATAATAAAACTTAATAAAACTCTAATCATATTAATTTTCTTACTAACTTTTCTTAAATTTCATTTTAATTACCATATAATAACCTAACTGCTATATCTACGTAGTATTAAAGTTGAAACAACTTATCTAAATATATAATATAACTTTTACTTCAATTATATAATGTGTTTAGCATAAGTACGCCTTATATTATATTCAAGTACATATAATTGATATATTTCTAATTAATGAATTATAATATATTATTTTAGGATTAAAGGAGTAATAATTAGGATGCTAATTAGAACATCATCCGACTCAACACATTGTATAATACACTTATTAAAAATAATTATTTTTTAGTCTAAATTTAAAAGCAAATAAATTTAAAGATGCAGTAATGCATATAAAATGCAAAAATCAGTTAAATCAACTATATTTATATTATATTTTCAAAAAACTGAATCTTAGCTGGTATTATCAATTTTTAGTCAAAATGAATTAATAAAACGATGCCGTTTCAAGTTAATAGTATAATTTGCTCATCTTCGACTCAAAATATTAAACCCAATTTTGCTCATCTTCAACTTTCCCTGTTTCTACTTTCCAGATTTTTTGCAGAACCATTTCCTTTGATTTGCCCTTGAAATTTCTTCGACATTGTCTTCAGGCCTCCAGTGAATTGGTCGAGTGGCTATGGTGTCAGGAGGATGGAAGGAGAATTTGTAGGAAAGGGTTTGAGAATAGAGGGCTTTTGAATGCAGAGAATCAGAGGCAAATCAAAGAAGAAAAGGGGGTGAATTGAAACAGGGGAACAAGGGCAAATCAAAGGAAAGGGTTATGTAAAAAATCTAGAAAGTAGAAACAGGGAAAGTTGAAGACGAGCAAAGTTAGGATTTAATATTTTGAGTTGAAAATGAGCAAAATTGGGATTTTATACTGTTAACTTGAAACGACATCATCTTATTAATTCATTCCAACTATAAATCAGTAATATCGGCTGAGATCCAATTTTCTCTTATATTTTAATAACTAAATTAAATAATTATTAAAAATTATATTGAATTGAACGACGTACCAATTATTATCCTAATAATTAAGATGTAAATAATTCTAAATAAACGTATTTCTGAATAATGATTTCTAAAATTTCAAAAATTATAAATAACTACAAATTATAGTATATATAATTGATGTGTATCAACTTAGAAGACTAATTTGAAAAGTACAAAAAAAAAATTATATAAACAAACCATCTCAGGTAAGCAGGAAGTGAGTGAACGAACTTATAAGAAATTTAAAAATAAAAAGAGAGTCTTTGCAAGGAACTTAAAAATGCTTTAATATTTATTTTTCTCAAAAATGTAAACTATGAAAAAATTATAAAAATTGAAAAATAAGAGCCCTTACTAGCTTAAAATATATTTTTTAAGATAAAAAGTTAAAAAATTCTAATACACACAAAATGAGAGAAACGAAGAGACAAAGAGAAATTGGTATAAAAATGATATATTAATAAAGATAATGATTGGTATATATTTCGGTTTAATACATATCACGACATGTTTATTTAAAAATTATTACTTTCAAATTTGAATTTGAGATGGAAAAAATTTCAACTACAAAATTTAATAATTCAACTGGTGGGTTTAGTAGGTGTGTTTAATTAGATGATGTACTAATCATTTTCCTAATAATAAATATAGATGCAATTAGTGAATAAAAAAATAATATTGAGGATATAAGGATAATGAGAGAAAAATTAATAACAAATAAATTATTAATATATAGATAGAAAAGTGAGGATGAATATACAGTAGATAAATGTTGATAAAAAATGTAAAATAGATTTATAAATATAATAATAAAATATGAGAGAATAAACTAAGAGAAGGAGTGATCCTAAGAAGAATTGATAAAAAGTGAATATAGATAAGTAAAAAAGTTCAAAGAGGAAAAAACTAGAGTAAAACGAAAAAAAAGAAGATATATTTGATAAATAAAGATTTAAAAGAATGACCAAAAAATAATAATAGAAATGAGAGAATAATGTGAGAGTGAATAATAATGAATAAATTACTAATATAAAGAGAAAAATTAGGTAAAAAAGAAGAAGACATATTTGAGAGATAAAGATTTAAAAGAATGACTAAAAAATAATAATAGAAATGAGAGAATAATGTGAGAGTGAATAATAATGAATAAATTACTAATATAAAGAGAAAAATTAGGTAAAACTTATAATGTGGATATGAATATAAATTTATTGCATGTATTAGTAAATTATTTATGATTTTAAAATATTTATATGTCATGGCAATAATGAGAAAATATAAAATATCTACTAATAGATAGAAAGAGGAAAATTGGGTAAAAAAAAATATAAAGATAGATGAAGAGGGGTGACTAAGGAAGAATAATAGAGAAGGGGATATGAAGAGAAAAAATAATAATAAATAAATTATTAATATAAAAATGAAAAATGATGGCAAATATAGCTTAAAGCAAAGTAGTCAATACCATACTGGTATGCGTATCGATTTTGCTACTGGAACGGTACGTACAGGATGTTGAAATTTTTCGTGTACCGTTTCGGATTTATCGCTATAAATATATATTTTTATAAATTAAATATCAAATTTTAAAATAAGATAAGAAATACTAATATTTAAAACTACGATATTCTTATAAATTAAAAATAAGTTTAAAATGTTTATTTTTAATCTCTCAACTTCTAATATATGTATATTTTTCGTCCAT